CTAGAAAATGCACTGGAATTATTTAAATTTTTTGTACTTTTGCAATCTTTTTTGTATAGTTCTGGCCTACTGCCTGGCGATGTCATAGTTGCCATAAACGACTCTCCGATTAGCAACGCTGGTCAGGTCTTCAGCGCCGTCCTCAAGCATGACCATCTTTCCATAACCATCATTCGTAAGGGTCAGAAAATCACGGTGAAGGATGTGGTGCCCGAGTCTGTATAGCTTCTATACTTTACTTTCCTTGCCCGTCTGTTTTTGTATGTATGTCTCTTCTAAACCCTTAATGACCGCAATTTCCATAAAATTTTATATCTTTTTTCATTTATCCTCTCTTTTTCTGCTAAAATTTTGGCTTTTGACTTTTTTGATATATTCTTACACTTCATCTTCTTCCTCGTAATTTTAATGGTAAAAAGGCAATAAAATGTCGCGGCTCCATCGACTAAAATAGTCTACGCTGCCTTTTATAGTCGATTTAGGCTTAAGACTGGACCTGGATTTATTACACTTCCTATCAAGGAATAGATTAACCTATCGTAATTATATTTTTGTTGTCTCTCATGCAGACAGTGGCTAACGCCAAGAAAGCTTACTTGATATTTGATATTATGATGATTCCAATTGCTTGATGACGAGGGCCGTACGAGCTTAGCAAATTTAATTGTGTGATCATGAATGCGTCAGGTTAGGGATTCGGCTTGAAGATTGCATGAGGAAAGGCGTTATGTGTTTGCAATCCAGCGGATACTGCCAGGGGCTCTAGACTTCATTCTCTATTGCTCTACTAAATAGTCAGCTGCTAGCTGTGCAACACAATGTTGTAGGTATGCAGATAAAGCTACTCAGATATGTTTTCCAAGACGACGATTTGTGCATATGCCCGAGCATTAGACGTTTTTTGAATGGACGAGGACATTGAAATTGTTCTTTTGGAAGCAAAACAAATTTCGCTTCTGCGTAAGGGTCTGAGAGCATGCCTTTGGTTCTACTATGTCTATTTCTAGGGAAATACATTTTTCGTATTTAAGTAGAGTTTCGAGACTACAAATAAATCAGTAAAATGAGATGTATTCAACCAATTTCTCGAAACTCTACTTAGATACGAAAAATAAGTAATGGAGTCGATTGTTATGGCAAAATATACGTTTGCTTCATCGACAATCCCACCAAAGAATATGATATGGCAA